TCGAGTCGACAAATTCATTTGGACAGCTTTCAGTAAGAGCGGGAAGAAGATCACGCAGCAAATTACAGCAAGGATTGCTTTACTGATGGTTTTTTGGGTTTTCTTCCAATATCGCCTTGTCAAAATCACTTTTGATAGCATTCTCTCCAGGTGACGTTTCCGAAAGTAAAGCACCCCAAGGACGCTCAGTTCCAGAAACCTCAGAGACCAGATGGTATTTTTGGCCGCAGTGACAGTTTCACTCATTTCCTCTTTAACCAGGGATCTGTTGTTAAAGGCACCCATGTCGAAGCCGTAGCAACATACGAGGATACCCACGATTAGAACCTGCATTGTGGTGCAAATCGTCTTCTCTGTGGCGGAAGCGGTGTCTGGAAACCACTGAAATGTGCTCCTGATATAAGCTTTCAGCCCAGTTAACCTCTCAGCCCTCTCAGAACTCTCTTCTTTATCCAAACTTAAATGTATGATTTCATCCTCTTCTGTTTCTGAGTTGTCTTCAGCAACGCTTTCGTTGCTCTCTCTTGCGCGCTCTCTGCCGTAGTCCTGTTGTGAACTGTTTATACTGCCTCTACTTCCGCTGAAGTCCACATCGAAGTCTTCACGGCTATCATCCCTATAAATTGGCTTCTTGTCCTCAGACATGGTTAAAACCAGCTGTTAATACAGACAACAACAGAAGAATGCTACAGCGAGGGTTAAAGGACAATCAAGAAAAAAGGGTGGCTTTGTTTGTTTTAGGATAATTGAAAACGAGGCGCGGGGATTCCCCAACCACTTCGAAACTGAAAGGTTTTATTTTAGTGGCTCAAGGGAATTGATTTGATACGTTTTTGTGCGGGGGGGCGGGGGGGGAGGGCGCCTAGAAACATGTAGAAACACGTCTCTAATTGTTATGCGGGGATAATACACTTTCCCTTTTTGGTTTGATTTGGTCATAAAAAATATACCATATGAATAACTGCTGCGAAAGACTGTATGTTTCTTTTTCTATATTTATACTTTGCAAAGGTTGCTCATCGCACTAATATTATTTATTAACTAAACAAAAACAGCAGAAATCATGTTGTACTGCACTATAAGGCTCGAATCACACAAAGAACGTTAGAACGTTTCCTGTAGGATAATATATGACAAGGCAAAATATTTTTTTGAGAAAATGAGAAAGCTTCTTACAGCAGCTTCCAAAACACTTCTTCAAGATAGTAATATATTTATGTCTCTCGGAACTAAGTTACCAAAACGGTGTCTGCTTCCTGAGAGATTCGCGTGAGGAAGCTCTAAGGCCCTGTTTACAAGGAAGAAGGGTAACCCTGGTGCTAGGGTTACCCTAGCACTCGCACATTTCTTGTTTCTTTACGCGACGTGTTTACGAGGCAGGTAGGGTTACCCTAGAGCTAGGGTAAGAGGGTTACCCCGCCTACCTTGTAAACTCTTTGCTAGGGATAACTCGCCTACCCGGAACAACTTTCCTCCGTCATGCGTGACCAGTAATCTTGACAATTTGAACGGAATTATCCAATTTCTGAGCTAAATTGTAAACACCTGAACAATATACGGTATTTTCTGTATACGATGATAATATTTTCCCTTTTTTCGTGGATTTAACGTGTTTTCCAATGAGAACTTCAAGTTGTATTTGAAATCTTGGACATTACAAAGAATGTCACACATGACGAAACACGTCAGGAAAGCTGGTTAAGTTCACCCGGGTGATAGGGTAATCGACGGTAACCTTTGCTTATAACCCGGGCTATCTCTAACCCGCTTGCTAGGGTAACCCAAGGGGTGGGTAGAAAACGAAGACCTAAGACCTAAGACCCAAAAACGAAGAGCCCCGTCAAAATCTAGAAACGGGTATCTCGACCATAGAGGTGTAAGAAACAACAATATCTTCAGTTATACAAAATTTCGACTAGATAGGGGCTTCGTTTTCGACACAATCCCCCTGGTGTGTAGAAAACGAAGACCTCCCTCATAATCACTTGGAAACGGCTGGAAACTGCTTTTAACGACTTCTAGACACTAAAGGAGTGTAAGAAACAACACGAACACTTAACACGGCTCCTGACGATTTTTAATTATACAAAATATTGACCAGGGTCTTCGTCTGAGTTTTCTGCGGAATCATCCTTTGCTGGTCAAGATTTTGTATAACTGAAAATCGTGTTGTTTCTTACACTCCTTTAGTGCCTAGAAGTCGTTAAAAGCAGTTTCCAGCCGTTTCCAAGCGATTTTTTCTTTGGGGGGGGAGGGGGTTTTCGTTCTCTACACACCGGGGAATTATGTAGAAAACGAAGACTGTGGTCGAAATATTGTATAATCGAAAATCGTCAGGAGCCGTGTTGTTTCTTACACTCCTTTAGTGTCTAGAAGTCGTTAAAAGCAGTTTCCAGCCGTTTCCAAGTGATTTTGAGGGGGGTCTTCGTTTTCTACACACCGGGGGGATTGGGTAGAAAACGAAGACTCTGGTCGAAATTTTGTACAATTGAAGATATTGTTGTCTCTTACGCATCTATGGTCGAG